GAGCGAGCGCTGCACCCTCAAGCCACACTGCGTGGGACATAAGCACAGCCTGCCCCAAAGTCCAGAAAGCTGTCTGCTGGTCAGAAGGCAACGTCTGGAAAGATGCCCACTCACCGGTCAAAATCTGGTTGAGTTGCTCGCGCGCAGACAGTTTGACTGCACGGGCCCCTCCTGCACCGATGGACGGGCTGGGCACAGAAGGGTTCATGACCAAATTGAAGAAGTCACCAAGCCGGGTTGCAACCATGTCCATGTACTTGCCCACTTCCTCAGCCACCACCAAATGCTTCGAGTCCAGGACTGTTTCCCAAGTCTCGGAGGTGCGGCGAGCAAAGGTTTGCTCGTGCAAATGCAAGGCCAAGGCCAACCTGAGATGCTTGGTCTTGGCTTTTCCATGGAATTTCGCTTTTTCTTGGTCCTGCAAGTGAGCTGCTTTCTGCTCGTCCACATGGTGGTCGAAGCGCTCATCAAAAACTGTGGCAGCATCAGGTGAAAGCGTGTAGAAACGGAATGGGTAGTCCTTTTGGCGAACAAAGCGGTCAAGACCTGCCCAAACCGGATCATGGGTAGAGTGGCAAGGCCAAAAGAAGTTGGCCACATCATCCAGCAAGGTGCCAGCTGAGTTGATTTTTGCATTGGCCTCCCGAATGGCAGCAGCATGCTCGAAGGCAGGGCGAGTGTAAAAGAAGGAGACTCGGCCCTTGATTCCAAGTGGGTCGCCTTCAATGAAAAGCGACGCAACATCGGGCACATGCACGGCACCTGCTGCCGCAAAGAAAGGGTAGGTGATAGCAAAGGACCTGTCCTCGTGGATGGTGTTGCGCTTCCATTTTGCCCTTTCATATAACTCTGTTGCAATTGCCTCGTTGATAGTACCCTCTGCCTGCAGCCAGCGAAAGAATCTCTTGCCCTCGGGGATGAAACCGACGGCTCGGCAAAGGTTTTGAGGCTGCGCCATGATTCGTCCCTCGCCTTCGAGGGACCCAGCGGACAACGTCATGCTTAGATCGCCTGGCAGGGGCAGGTGCGACAAGAGTCGAGGCCAATGCCTATAGAAAGGGATGCAAAGTCTAGAGCAAAAACACGTGGAAATTATTTTCCGGATGCATATACGCAGCAAAAACGAAAAAAAAAAGGAAGCAGCCCACCTGCAAAGGGATTGTTGGCCGCTTGTCCCTTCCCACCTTCAGCCTTACCACGGTTCTGCTTCCATTCGTCACGTCGCCGAACACGATCTTCCCGCGCACGGTGCTCAATGAGATCCAAAGCATCGGCGTAGAGGCGCAAAAGATTGGAAGTTGAGGTTGACCCAGGATGGACAAAAAAAAACCAGAGCACGGCGTAGATCGTGATGGATGGAATTGGTCGCAACGCGGCTGTGGGGGCCAGAAAGGACACCATGCACAGTTCCAGCAGCATCACCCACATCCACGGAGTGCTTTGAGTCAGACCCAACGTCTTCCAACGGGCCACTGCATCCGGGTAATGTTCCGAAACAATCTCCTCTGGAAAGCGCTCAGCTTCCAACTCCGTAAAAAAGTTGACAATGTGATTTGTGCCGTGGATCTTACGCTTGAAGTTCTGCTCCGCCTGGGCTGCCATGACACGCGAGGCTTGGCAAGGCTGCAATGTTGTCAATGAAATCTGGATACGGCTGCGCCAAAGGAAGAAGAAACCACAGCTCAGACAAGCAAAGCAAAAAATCACATATGTCAGACGTGTCAATGCAAGATCGAGTCACACACATCGTCCAGTGGCAACGTCCAAAACCTTGTTTTGCCATTGAGAACATGCCGGTATTACGCGCGCCTGCGTTTCAGCAAGCTCTGTGGTGGGGTCACATGGGGCGGCGGGGGGCACGATGGTCGCGCGGCGACGACACGTTCGTTCCACAGGCGAGCCAAAAGAAGGCAAAAGACATCAAACGTCTGGGCTCGCATCCCGCGCGTGATGGGCACAAAGAGCTCCAACCACGAATTAAACTGCTCACACATGCTCGAATTAAACTGCTCTAAAGACGGGTGCAAGTCCATGTCAACCTCAGGAGTGAAGAGCCGGTGTGTGGGACAAAGGCATGCGGTGTGATTCTGCTTGTGCCACCTGTCCAACACAAAAGTCAGTTGAGCACACACTTGAGGGGCTTCACGGGCACTCCTGGCCGCAATCTTACGCACGAACCGTGCCAGGGCACAGGCATTGTCATACACCACGTACTGCAGAACTCGTCGGGACCGCACAGCAGCCAGCATGCCAAACACTTGCGTCAAGGACTCATGACGGGCAATGGGCATGATCATGGCCACGCGACCACAACCCAGCAAGGCGGTCAAAGTACTTCCGTAGAAGCGATAAGCGCTTGCATCCTCCTGACCTTTGACCAAGCCACACGGATTGTCAGCAGCTGGGAACAGTTCCGCCTCTGGGATGTCGCCCGCAAGGTGTGGAGGCCCATCAGCAACCGTTTCAACAGCACGCAGGTCGCCAGTGTCTGGTCTCACCGTCTGGTCGGCTTCTGGAATCTGCAGGAAGTCGGCTGGCACCGTGGCAACGGCGCAAGAGTGACAGATGTGCCACACACATCCCAAGCCACATTGCCAGATGGGCTCCCTTGTCACAATGCTAGCACCACATTGATGGCACTCTTGCTCCCTTGCACTGCGGCGACGTCGAAGTTTGTGGCCGCGGAAACACTGCAAGGATGTACTGGATCCAGCTTCAGGTGTGTGATGGGCTGCACATGCATAAGAACCATGGAGGCGAGGAGCAAGACAACCAAAGTCAAGAATCACATTGGCACGCACAAGATGGAGTGCAGAACCAGTTTTTCGCATGCAGACAGGTACTGCCCGGTTGACTTTGCCGTCAAAAGCTAAAACTGGGAGACGGGAGCAAGTCACACAGGTATGCTTCTGGGCAAAGTCCTGCAAAAACTTTTGTTGGAGCGGAAGGTACAATGACCCCAAGGTGCTGCAGCGAAGATCAGCATTGTGCCGCTGGAAGCAGAAGGGCATCCGGGAAAGCTCGTCCCAGTTCGCCTCTTGCAGCTGCAGGATTGCGTGGTAGACCAGCCAAGCATGCAGGAGCTTGTCGTGCAAGTGTTCAACATGTGGCATCTGGTGGAAATCCAGCATGAGGGAAGCAAAACCACGAAAGGAGCTCCGAACATGAAGAAGAGCCGCCGTCAAGAAGGTAAACAAGGCAGGGTCCATTCCAGCCACCGATGTTCTCTCGGGGCAGAGACAGAGAAGTAGAATCTCATCTGCCCGCACGGCTCTTGCCAGCTGCGCCTGACCACTCGAGCCGTGGATCCACGACCAGCAGCCACAGAATGTTTTTTTGCATGCGGAGCAAGATTCCCGCACAACTTCCAAGGGCTTGCAGCCGTCTGCCAAAGTCAGGACATGACACAAAATGCGCTGCGACTGCAGCGTTTCCCCACAGGATGGACAGTTGGCCCACAACGATGTTGCATCGCAGGGATTGCAAACCAACCACTCAGGACACTGAAGCTGTAGTCTGTCAAGAACATGTTGCACGTCATTGCGTGGCACCCCAAGTGGCGCAAAGCCTTGGGCGTGTAAATCCGCCACCACAAGGTCCACATGCCCACGGTGACGATGGTAGGAGAGCAGCAAGGTGCCCAAAGCCCCCACAGGCAAAGGATGCAACAAGTCGGCAAGGTTCATCGTGAGGATCCCTGAGCCGAAAAACAGCAAATCATCATGCCGCGGCTCAAGACGCCAAACTTGAAGAACGTGTGCAGCAAACCAAATGCCAGAAGCTTGACACATTGCACACACAATGACACATGGGCCTGACACACAAGTCACAGAAAGGGTCCGGTGGTGGACTTCAACAACATGCCCCCGCCTCTGCAGCAGCAGCCCCCTGCAGTGCACGTGACCGATGTTTATGTCAGTGTTAAACATAGACCAAAGTATCTCGGTTTGGATATACGATGTTATGGAGTGAGGCCTTTTGCGAATGCGAGCAAACCTAACTTGACAAGTCTGACTAGGCTGACAACTGTCACCATGCGCACAACTTCAACGACAGCTGTGTTCTTTGACCCCGGCTTCGAACCACGTCATCTCGCTGACTGACGTTGTGTCGAATCAGCACAAAAGCTGCAGACTGAGCCGAACGCGCAAGATACGATGCCGGGGCCTGCATGTAAAAAAAACCGGCCGCATTCGGACAACCTATGCCGGCACAAACTGTCACGAGTCACAAGTGTGCGTCAACGCACGCCAAGCATTAAGCTGCTCCTGGCGAAATTGCACAGCCAGCCTGAGGACTTCTTTCACCCGCGAAGTAAGCGCATCCACCTCAAACTCACTTTGCTCTGGGCTCGGTAGACCGAATGCCAGCCGAACTGCATCTGGAAGCAGACGGAGATTGGCCAGAAGCAACAGCGAACTAGATGCAGGCGAAACCTCTTCCCACGCACCCTGGATGGCTTCCAGCGAGGAAAGCGGCAACTCAAAAAGCGCAGCTTGCTGGCTGGGCGAGAGAGTGGTCGTGCTTGGACGCGCTGTGGCACCACGGGCAAGCGCAGAGCGAATGTCGGTGCCAGCCACGGCAACTGGGCGGCTGCGACTTCGAGCGTGACGCCCACCAGCCGCAGGCATGTGCGGACACAAGGGGATGAAGGATGTCACTGCGCAAATTGGACCACAATTATGGCTGCTGCGCGACGGCAGGATGCAAGGATGCACCGACAAAATGATCGAATGAACAGCAGTACACATGCGTGCGGTGAATATACACTGGACAACAGGTTCACTGGTAGATCCAAATGCGTACATGGCTACAGCTGTTGAAACAATCTTACTACTAACAAAGCAGGAGGTACAAACATGAAGCAGCATCGCGTTTCGAATCTTGGAAAGGAATCCATGTTCTACATATTCTTTGAGGCTCTTTTTCACTTGGCACCGCAAAAAAGACTCCGAAGAGGTACAGCTTCGCGTCATTGTTCGAGGCACGAAAGTGCAAGGTCAAGTGGCGAACTTGTCCCACGTGACCGGGCCCGGTCGCGTTTTGCGAGCGACAGGCCGTGGCAAGGAGCGAACAGACAGGATGGGCCAAAGCCATGTTGTTGCATATGGCAACTGAGCTGCAACCAAGCGATGTTCAGGCCAACGCTGTTGAAACGTAGCAAGATCTGGCGCCTGCTGCGCTGCATCAAATTCGACAATGGCATAAACATAGGGCCCGCAGGCAAGCCATGCAGGTCCCGGCTTTAGGCGCTGCCCACGCACTTCAACAACCTTCTCCCCACTCACGATCATGTCAAGCCACCGCTTCTTCAACAAAAGCACCCGGTCGCCAGGAGCCGGCCACGGGGCATCCAGCAGCGGCAGCTGTTGCGAAGGCATGGCTCATGTACGCTCGCTTGAGAAAACACTGCTGGACAGAAACAACTTTATGGCTTCTGACATGGACCAAACACACCCGCAACCACCCTCAACAACAGCCCGTAAGCAAAAAACATGTAAATGAGGCAAGCATATAAGAAACAAGCCTCAACCGAGACCCGCCTCCAGAAGCAATGTTCCCAGGACATTGGACGCCTGGCCAAGGCCTCAACCACTACAAACAGATTTGCTGGCAGGATCAAATGTCGAAAGCCTCTGGCAGTCAAGCCTTGGCAGTAGTGCTTGCACGGTTGTAGATGCAATGATGCAGCCGCGAGAAGTCTGAAGCAAAAAGGATGGGCACTATCTAACAGCGCCATGCCATGAAACCCACAACCACTTGAATTCCATCTGAGCCTGCTCCGTCATCTAAGCCTCGCACCAAAAGGTACAGTCAGCGCCAAGGTTTGATGCGTACTTACACAATTGTGGCTTCCCCGCGCCTGTCAAGAAAGAAAGCAGAACAGCCCCGAGGCACCACGCTGGGTGCATGGCTCAATCGCAGAAACAGCTACGAAAGTGCAGGTGACTTAAGCTCTCCGGGCAATACGTTTGGACGCAAAACCATCCAGTTCAAAACACAGCAAAAGCAAATACAATCACACACGATTTTGCGGAACGGAAGCTGTATCTCTAAGGCGTAGAGCCAATTGACTCCTTCAATTGACTTTCTTATGTCCTCCTGTGTGTCGAAACGTGCCCCTCCATGGCACCTCCGGGTACCGGCCAACCACTCGGCGTTTCAGCTTCAAAGCAAGTGAGGACGACGCCAAGATTCCGCCACTGCGCGTACATGAGAAAATAGGATCCGTACGAACCAATTGCTGGAATTGCAGTCCACCCAACAGAAAAGGCTGGATGCACCGGCCCTGTTTGAATCTCGGGGCACCATACGCAGGAAAATAGAAGGTTGTTGAGCCACAAAATTGCATCGTCGTATTCTGGCGCCCCGCCGAGATCATGATTGTAGACTGGAAGCCATGCGTGCAGAGGGCACGCAATGTCGTCCTCACAACAGAGCACGGCATGGACAGACAGGGACAAGCCTATATGGCGATACACCGCTTGATGCCATGAGTTAATTGTCAAGGGTACAAGGAGCGACATCGTGTAAAGAGGATTTCAACTTGGTTGCTGCTTATCGTCTCCGTGTGAAAACACACATATAGAACACAACGAGATCGACGCAGACAACAAAAAGAAATCGTTGAAAGAGGATTTCGACTTGGTTGCTGCTCATCGTATCCGTGAAAAACACACACAGATACAACACAACAAGATCGACGCAGACAACAAGTCCCGCGGGCCTGCTGCAAAAACCGTTCAAAGGCACCGGGACGTTGCGGGACCAGACGCAATCCGGCCACCACTAGTCTCCAAAGGCGATGGTCTCCAATATCATTTCGACGATGCTCTGCATAGCCACCATCAGGCCGAACCCATTTGAAGTCAGGCTCGAGAAGGCACAAATCAAAAGACACATTTGGTCGATGGTGGAAACTCATGCATGGAATGTTGACACCCGCGTCCAGGATCGGGCCCAACTTCGCCAGCAATTCTTGTTGGACTGTACGTACGTAAGTGCGGAACGCATCCACAGAGATATCGGCAAAATGCGCCGAAGCACACAGTAGCAGCGCAGCGCCCAAGGGCAACAGATCCAAGAGGTGAAAGAGCACCACGGACGAGGGAAGCTGCACCAGTGCCATGACTCTCCGCTATCGAAAGTAGCAATCTTTGAGCCAAATAGAATCGGACCTGCGCAAGACAGGTGTACCAAGAAAGTGAAAGAAGAAAGCATGATGTCACACTGTGACCCCCGCACCATGTGGAACCAGCAGCAAAACAACGTTACACTGGCAGCCAGGCACAGTCGAAAGAAACAAAAAGGTGGCAACCATGGAAGATGAATTTTACATCCTGCAGAAAATGTTCGCCAGTGAAACGGATACATGTGGACTACGGTCTGCGTGAGACCGGAAAATGATTACCCCCGTACAAAGCGACGCTCAGCACCGGGCAGGCAAAATCGACATAGCACTCGATTTGTAAGAATTTGTGCCAAAGAGCAAGGGCCTCCCATGAGATGGAACCGGACCAAAAGGCACGAAGATAACTGGTCACATGGTCAACCTTGACAAAGTGGTCCAGGCTTGAGAAAAAGATCAGGTCGTAGACCAGTGTTCCATGTGTGCGCTCCGCAGTGCGTGGATGCGCTTGTAGCAAACCCTGAAGTACATGCAAGGAATGTTTGCTGACACTGGGGTCTCCAAGTCCACGAAGGAATGCGAGAAGAAGGACAAGGAAGGGACCTGTGGAAAGACATGTATGAGGTAGCGCCGAAAAACAGCATATAGGAGTTGACACAGACCTGGTTATACTCTGCACAACATGCCCGCGCCTCCTGTCGCACGCTGGGCATCGCGGACACGACGCGGAGGTCGACCACGTTGCTGCAGTGCGCCTGGAACTGGAGCTGCGATAGGGCCAGCATGCTGCAAGGGTTGCGGCCAAAGGCGAGCAAGGAAGACACCAACATCTTCATCATCAGACGTGATGTCAGTCCAACGTCGCGCCATGCATGGTCAGCTTTAATGGAAATGTGGAATCGGATAGCACGAGCCTAAGCCAAAAAATGCGCAGCACACGCTGCATCCAATGCGACGTCGTAGAACACAGCAGCCGAAAATTCGCAGCATGTGTGATCATGGAAATGAACCACTTCCAAGCACTGCAATGACACAGAAAACAAGCAACGTGACCACCTGCAAACACTAAGCCATCCCTATCGATCGAACCACTTTTACTCCGACGCGTTTGGGCGACGCTCAGCACCGGGCAGGCAAAATCGACATAGCACTCGATTTGTAAGAATTTGTGCCCCGATCGATCGAACCACTTTTACTCCGACGCGTTTGGGCTCCCGTGGAAACTGACCGGGCTTCTGCAGAGCTACCTCCAATTGAAGGTTTCATACAGACATCAGAAACCAAGTGTTGGCAAAAAATTGCAGTGTTGGCAAAAAATTGCAGCATGTGTGATCATAGACCAAACCAGTCTTCTGCAGAGCTACCTCAGATCGAAGGTTGCATACAGACATCAGAAACAAAGTGTTGGCGAAAAATTGCATGTATCCCTGCAGGCACAGTGGAACTGACAAAACAACCTTTGGCAACAACTGAGAATGCCCCAGCCTGAACATCCTCCCACATATATAGACAAAGTCGTAGAAGCTCGTCCTGCACACGAAATTGCATCACGAGTCAAGCAACATCAGGGAGTAGTGAGTGAATGCGACGGGAACATGAATGAGAAGCTTTTACAGGACAGCGCTGCAGCAACACAAACCACGCGCAATCCACAATGGCAGTGGCTGGCAGGAGCAGTGGTCCGGTGGAACTGACCAGTCTTCTGCAGAGCTATACCTCAAATCGAAGGTTCCATACAGACATCAGAAACAAAGTGTTGGCAAAAAATTGCATGTATCCCTGCAGGCACAGTGACGGCCAGGGATGGTTTCGCAGAGTTTGTCAAACAAGTCTGTTGGGGCACAAGCATACAACAACAAGGGAACACCGCCTTGAGGCGGGTGTGGGTTTTCTACAATTGTGTACTTGGTGATTGAATCAAAAATCACCTTTTTACACTGTAATTTGCAGTATTTTATGCTTGTGATCTATGATGTTTTGACGTTTGCTGCAAGATGTCAGAATGCCAAAAAAAACTTTTGCAATTCCGCAACATCTGCTTGAGACATGAATACATAGATATTTTAAATACCCTTTACACACATATATATATATATATAAACATGTAAACATACATGTATATAAAAACACGCGTTTTGATAAATGTATGTTGTAAATGAACCTAGCAAAGTTGGGCAACGTGTCTTCGGTAGCGTCATCTTACAGTCGAAAGGAACGTTATCATCCCCACCCCACCCCCCCACCCCCCCTCCCGGTCAAGGTAGCAAGACGTCAGCAACAAAGTTGGGCAACGTGTCTTCGGTAGCGTCATCTTACAGTCGAAAGGAACGTTATCATCCCCCCCCCCCCCCCCACCCCCCCTCCCGGTCAAGGTAGCAAGACGTCAGCAACAAAGTTGGGCAACGTGTCTTCGGTAGCGTCATCTTACAGTCGGCAAGAGCGTTAAACACGTATACTGCCAAAGAGCACAAACGTGGAAAAAACCACGCCCGCCTCGGGGCGTTGACCCCAACAACAACTCGCGAAACAAAGGTCTGAGATTGACACAGACTGGAAGACGGATATGAACCTGCCAGCGAGAAGCAAATTGGAATAGCACTGAGGCAGCTTCATCACGACATTCGACCATTGACTCCTGAATCAAAGAAAGCAACAGCTGTTGAAACAATCTTACCACTAACAAAGCAGGAGGTACAAACATGAAGCAGCAACGCGTTTCGAATCTTGGAAATGAATCCACGTTGTACATATTCCTTGGGGCTCTTTTTCACTTGGCACGGCAAACATTTCTGCTTGCACCTATCGCCTCGTCAAAAACCATGTTGTCAAATGAAAATGAGGCCGCTGGTCAGCTGGCTGCTTTCAGGGAGGGCCGTGCCAGGGAAGATTCTCGTCGTCCGACTCAGCCTCACGGAACATCACGGCCTCCTCGAGGAGCTCGAAGATGAAGCCGCTCTTGGCCACTTGAAGCGCCGTCCGCTGCACTTCTATGACGGTGCCGTCCGTCCCGTCGTTGAAGCGCTCTGGTTCCAAAGTCTGCCATGCGCGCCAGGTTGTCGGCGCGGGCCCAATCGCAAGCACCACCTCGACAGCTCCGCCGAAGGTAGACTCAAACCAGAGCTCCGTGGCTTCGGCGAGCGACGTCACGGCTACCCACCTGACGTGCCGCCGGTCCCAGGGCGTGCTTGAGCGAAAGTGCTCGACGCGGACACGTCGTTGTTCGACGGGCGGCAACGCGTCTGTGGTCCGGTCGAAGGCGAGCAACGGCATGGCCGCAGCGAGCCAGAGCAGCTGCAGATGGTTCCCCAGAAGCCGGACTCCAGTGAGCGTTGGCGTCGGGAGCGGCTGCACGTCGTAGACGGCCAACTCATCAAGAAGGCGTCGCCGCGCCTGCAAGGTGTGGGCCCATGTGGCGCAGCGCGCCAGGCGCCACAGGGGCCACCAGCCAAGGAAATCTTCAATCAGCGCGAGCGCAACGAAGGCATCGCGCAGCGTTGCCATGGGCACGTGCTCGTATGAAGATCCGGCGTTTGAGAAGTTGCACTCTGTCACTCACAGCTGCAGAAGACATTCCATCACAACTCGTATATTTAATCTACATGCAGAATGTCAATGTGAACGAAGTGTAAAGCAAAAAGGATGGGCACTACCTAACAGTGCCATGACATGAAACCTAACCACTTGAATTCCATTTAGGCCTGCTCCGTCATCTAAGCCTCGCACCAAAAGGTACAGTCAGCGCCAAGGTTTGATGCGTACTTACACAATGAATATGTGGCTTCCCCGCGCCTGTCAAGAAAGAAAGCAGAACAGCCCCGAGGCACCGCGCTGGGTGCGTGGCTCGATCGCAGAAACAGCTACGAAAGCGCGGGTGACTTAAGCTCTCCGAGCAATTCGCTTGGACGCAAAACCGTCCAGTTCAAAACACAGCAAAAGCAAATACAGTCACACACGATTTTGCGGAATGGAAGCTGTATCTGTAAGGCGTAGAGCCAAAACTACTACTGCTGCTGCTACTACTACTACGACTACTACTACTACTACTACTCTACTACTACTTAAGGTTCCCCTATACTACTACTACTACTACGACTACTACGACCCAACATAGCCCCAAGAGGTCCAACATATGCCCAACATAGGCCAACATAGGCCCAGCAGAGGCCCGCCAGAGCCACATGCACAGGGCGCGGTGCCTAGAAATACCAGTACATCCACATCTGCCTGCCCAACATAGGCCCAACATAGAGCAAAGATACGCCCAACATAGCGCCAACATGGGCCAACATAGGCCCAAAATATGCCCAACATAGGCCAACATAGGCCCAGCCGAGGCCCCCAAGGTCCCCCCCCCTTAAGCCCCCCTTAACCCCCCCCTTAAGGTCCCCCCCCCTTAAGCACCCCCTTAAGGTCCCCCCCTACTACTACTACTACTACTGCTACTACTACTACTACTACTACGACTACTACGACCCAACATAGCCCCAAGAGGTCCAACATATGCCCAACATAGGCCAACATAGGCCCAGCAGAGGCCCGCCAGAGCCACATGCACAGGGCGCGGTGCCTAGAAATACCAGTACATCCACATCTGCTTGCCCAACATAGGCCCAACATGGAGCAAAGATACGCCCAACATAGCGCCAACATGGGCCAACATAGGCCCAAAATATGCCCAACATAGGCCAACATAGGCCCAGCAGAGGCCCCCAAGGTCCCCCCCCTTAAGCCCCCCTTAAGGTCCCCCCCCCTTAAGGTCCCCCCCCCTTAAGCCCCCCCCTTAAGGTCACCCCCCCTTAAGCCCCCCTTAAGGTCCACCCCCCTTAAGCCCCCCCTTCACTTCAGCCCCCCCCCCCCCCCCCCCGTAAGCCCCCCCCCCCCCGCTTAAGACCTCCTCCCTTAAGGTCCCCCCCCCTTTAAGCGTTTTCCCTTGAGCCCCCCCTCTAATTCCCCTCAGCCCCCCCTTTTTCAGCCCTCCCCTTAAGCCCCCCTTAAGCCCC